TTTAGCTTAATCCATCAATGAGGAAATTAATTTAAATAAAAATCTTCGTTTCAATCTTTCACATTTTCATATTTTGTAGGTGTTTCCAGCTCCTTGAGAGACAGCCCTTGTTTCTTTTGTGATTTCCAACATGGTACTTATCATGATATAACTATGTTAATTGATTTGTGATACACAAACTCCTTTAAAACTTCACTCAATATAAGTCTGCAGAAGTAAATAACAACAGAGATACTCGTAGTATCAAAAAAATTAACAAATCGTATGATATGCGAATAGTAGCCCACGTATTTAACTTTTTTGCTTGAACTTTTACAGAAGGGTGCACAAAGAGTGGGTATTTCAGAAATGATGAATGCCTCTTGGGAGGTTAGCAAGAGTGTTAAAAGGTGTCAGTCTATTCTAATTTCAGTATACTTTTACGCGCACCAAAAATCTGTATATTTTTGTGTAGAATATTAATAATCTAAGATTCATTGCGAGTCGTTTTGCATTTAGACGGGGTTTTGTGAGCGCTAAAATGAGTCTAAAAAGATAGTTTATCTTGTCATAGTAGGATGTAATGTTAGTAATTTACAAAGTCTGTTCTATTCGCTTTTATATCCTTAAAGGCAAAATTTACATAAAATATTTTAAAAAGATTGTTTTTGCAGTCTTTCCTAGAATTAAGTATTATCTTTTATTTGTGTGTAAAGAAGAATTAAAACAGAAACTCCACTTATTTTAAGACCTTATCAGTGCAGTATTTAGTAAAAGTGTAAATAAGCCATGCATTTGATTCCGTTATAATTATACGTTTCATATTAGAGTTGTATAAAAAATATTGGCCAGTCATTGCAAAATATTGAGACTATTATAACGTTAATAAGCGATAGTAATACTTATTGGCCTCCTTAACTCCACCCATTTCATTCCCGCCATCACTTACTTTCACTTAGTTTAAAAATCAACCCAGTTATTTGATTCTTCATTACCTCATGAGTCGTTTTTTATTCGTAATATCCTTTTTAATAATGCGTAAGTATACGTTCGCAATGTAAATTCTTACAAATTCACAAGCTACCGTATAATATTCACGAAACTTGGGCGACCCACAAATGCCTCGAGCATTATTAGTTAACAGTTATTTCTTCAACACAGATATATATTTTTAAATCCTGGATTTTCCATTCCTAACTCAACATTTAGAGTAGACAGATAAATCAAAATTATATTTTTTGTACGCCTTAAGATCTTACAGTTTTAATAGATGTGCTTAAACGTCATCCTAATTAATTTAATAAATACGAATAGTAGTTACGTTACAAGCAATACTTTATTATATATATAAAAAAGACAACTCCCGCATTAGGAATATATATTCCTGTGTCCCGGGGGACTTTACAAACATACCGAGGGACCGCAGTAGGAAGTAAACTACTTAAAAAAACAGCACTGCAAAGAGAAGGAAAACTTTGCGACAAGTTTTCCTTCTCTTTGCAGCGTGGTATAGTAGGCTAAAACCTTATTTCTAAGGAGAGTCCAGCAGTAGACTGTTAAAGGCTGACAATGATAATATCTAGGCATATATTAAGGATATAAAGACGTTTTGTTTGAAGCAAATTCAACGTGATAATCTTTAGAATTATTATTCAGATTTCCTTTTTTTTAATTGAAATAAGTAATAATTAAAGAATAATATAGACTACAAAACATCACACCAAGACCCTTAAGAGCAGAGCAGTGATTTAAAACAGAGGTGTAATAACAAAATATTACAAACTGGAATATAATAAACCTAATGAAAATTATGGAAAATTTAAAATGAAAAAAACCGGGTGTACGGGTACGGAGCGGCAAATGTGGTACATCAATCAGCACTCGTACGTGTAACACCGAAAGCCTGTCTAAAATACAACCTAAGGACGTGTATCGAGCGGGCACCGTAATGAAACGAACCACACTTGTACGTAACCTACGCCTAAGTACCTGAATCCCTAGATTCCCTAGCCCCATCAATATGTGACCTTGCTGTCTTGGATATATATACATATATAGATAGTGCGGGAAGTCTGTTACCTGGAGACCTAGGGTAACAGACGGAGACGTGAAGGGGGAACGGGGTTTAGGAGAAGATCTTCTCACTGCCGGTCGAGCAGGCTCACAAGACCGATCTACTGACGGCTAAAGGTGTCTTCGGCGCAGTGAGAGGTGGGATGAGTCTTAGTCGGATTAGACAAAATGACTGATTTATTTACATCAAGTACATCTTATATACTAATTTTAATCTAAGTACACATGGATGGCTATTTGCTTGTGTGCCATCCGTGTGTTGTGTTGATGCAGCTGCCTTAATCTCGGTCATGCCGAAATGTTGACAGTGCATCGACTTTACGCTGCACTGCGTGTGACATAGATGATGTTGCTGGGTGATGCAATTATGTTCATGATTGAACACCGGGCAAGTGCGAGTTCGAGCAAATTTGTTGGTACATGTTATAAATAGTTCATGAATCGAACCTTTACATACAAACAATTAACATACAAAATAAAATAAAAAATACAAATGTATAGTTTTCATATTTTTCCTTATACTAGTAGTATAAGACGATGATAATTGTCAAAATTCATATTTCTAGGTCAGCGGGAAGTACCCTATAAATTTTAATTCCCTTGAAAGTGTTAAAACATGCATTTTCAGCGATATAAGCGGTTTTTCCTATTGAGCTACGGAACCCTATAAATCCTTTTTAGTCACGGTGGTTTTACAAATAAAATGTATTCTTATTTTCGGATGTATTATTATTTTATGATAGCGGGGACGAACGAGCAAATGGGTCATCCGATAGAAAGCAACCACCGCCGCCCATGAAGCCCGCAACTCAGTAGTCACAAGCGCGTTGCCGGCCTTTGAGGAATGAGTACGCTCTATTCTTATATCCTTTCAATATAATCTCATCCAGATCAATTAAACATCTATAACCCAATCTCAAGAAAGGCAAAGTTGCTAAACGATCGCTTCGGTCAGTAACTAACTTCTGTGGGGAAATACAACCAGCACTAATTAACATCGCTACCAATGCAATCGATACCATTTTTAATTAATAAACTTATACACTACAGTAGAAACCATTTGGTATCATCGATGGTTCTTATAATGAAAAGAATACTTAAGGAAGACTTTAAGATTGTACCGGTGAATTATGATGATGATAATTAGGAGCAAATGAGCGGAGGAGTCACTTGATGGTAAGTGACTTCCGGCGCCCATGTACACCCAAGAGTCAGAAGTACATGACCGCCCCTTGTGTGTGCCCGTCCAGAATAAGAGAAAAGGAGTGGTTCAGGCATTCGGTAACCTAAATCACTCATTTTTGAGTCTGGCTGAAACTATATATATACATTATATACTACTAGCTGACCCGGCAAACGTTGCTTTGCCTAAAAAAAATTTAGGGATGGGTCACCCTTACCATTTCATCATCATCATCATCATCAACAGCCTATACTAGTCCACTGCTGGACATAGGCCTCTCCTTAGAAAGGAGGTTTAGGCCTACTATACCACGCTGGCCAGACGGGTTGGTATAGGGTTTGTTTCAAGTTTTCCTTCTCTTTGCAGTGCTGTTGTCCTGCTTAGTTTGCTCCCTTAGTCGGCTCTTACGACACCCACGGGATGAATTGGGGTAGTGACAATTTGTATTCTTAATCCGTCACCACACCCTTACCATTTAGGGGTATAAAAAATAGATGTTGGCCGATTCTCAGATCTACCCGATGTGCACACAAAATTTCATGAAAATCGGTCAAGCCGTTTCGGAGGAGTACGGTAACGAATACTGTGACACGAGAATTTTATATATAAGATAATAATTTGGGACATTAAATTTTATCTATACCCAAGCATACCTTAAAATACGGGTAATACATTGTGAAAATATGTTGTCTTTGGAAAGAAATTACACTCATAGTATTAATCGTAAATAAAAATACAACAACATACAATACAACAAAATACTTACAAACAAAAAAAATGCAAAATTTAAAACTTCGAGGATCAAGTACTGTTGTCACTAAGCCCTACACTAGGATTTCATTTGTGTATTTCGAAAACACATCTAGTAACTAAGATTGTAAGTTTTTAAAGAGAAAACTACATTTTGAATTCTTCTGCAAAATTTTAAGTATCATGAGCAAAGCTACCAGTTAAAACTAGTTATATGAATAATTAAGAATACGGAATGTCACCACCCCTATTCATCCCGTGGGTGTCGTGAGAGCCGACTAAGAGAACAAACTACACATTACAAAGAGCACTGCAAAGAGTAGGAAAACTTGAAACAAACCCTATACCAACCCGTCTGGCCGGCGTGGTATAGTAGGCCAAAACCTCCTTTCTAAAGAAAGACCTATGTCCAGCAGTGGACTATTATGGGCTGTTGATGTGATGCGATGTGATATGTATAAAAAAACCATCATTTTTTTATTGAGATTTAATTACACAAAGTTTCAAAGAAAGGTGAGGATAGATTAATCAATAAACAAATATAGCATCAGTAACATCAAGTAATTCCACCGAATGAACCCAATAGAAGTGGTTTCATTTATTTCATGGCACGTGACCATACATTTTTTAAAGAAGCATATGCGCTACTCAAAGTCTATTTGAAGATGACTTGTTGAAGGACAGCATAAAAATTATAATTATTTTCATCATAATGTTAGATTAGTGATACCAGTAAGATATATCTAGAAGATGTTAAATGTATTTTTATCTCTGCATAAATGACAATCATTTTAGTGTAATAAAATTCAACAGTTTTTTTCCTTACATTAAATTCGCGTTAAGTTATCTAAACAACCAATCTGAGTAATGTGGATTTACCACCTGATATTATTTTTAATGTTCCCAGGCTAAAGTGGAAACATATTTAGTAGAGGAGTTATATAGAAAGACTTTAGTGGTACTCTACAGTCAGTAATAAAGTTTCAGAGTTTGCATTAGTGTCGTTGTTATAAAAATGAAAGATTGGGTCAATAAAGTAGCAGTTGTGACAGACTGTGGAGATGACATAGGTATCACTATTATTGAACAGCTGGCTAAAGCTGGTATGATCGTAATTGGTTTCAATAAAGATGAAAATGTTCTAGAAGGAGTTACCGAAAAATTTAAATCTTTGATCGTAAACAAAATAAGTGGAAAAATTGTGTTATGCCGTTGTGACATTACGAAAATAAGTCAACTAGAAAGTGCTTTTGAAAAAATCCTAGGTGCCTATGAAGGAGTAGATGTGTTGGTAAATAATGCATATTGTAATACAGATTGTCTTGTGAACACGGGAAGTGTTGAGGATTTCAGACAAATTATCGATGTTAATATATATGCAGTAGTGGCTTTTATAAGATTAGTAGCTGCGAATATGATTGAAAAGAAAAAGAGGGGACATATTATTAATATAAATGATCTCTGCTCTTATCAACTTCCTGCTGAGACAAGAAAAAGTGTGTTTATAGCAGCTAAAGCTGCTATTACATCAGTTAACGAAATTTTGCGTCACGAATTTCGATATTTAAAAGCTAATATCAAAGTTACTAATATTGCTTGTGGAAATATAGAGAGTTCAACAGAAGCAGCACAAGATCAGCCTAAATTAAAAATAAGAGACGTTGCAAAGTTAGTCAAGTTAATATTGAATACGCCAGAGGAACTACAAGTGCATGAAGTTTTAATAGATTCAGTGGCTGAATAGCAACGTGTATTGTGCTGTGTAATGTAGATTTATTATAATTTCTGTGTTAAAATGACTTATAACTAAGACAGAAGGGTTGTTATTACATTTTAATTGCACGATATTGTATACTTTTATGTGGAAGAGCCGTAGAGACCGTAGTGAAAACCGGCGAAGAAATCCTTTCATTGCTTGTTATTGAGTGGACACGGCTACCGGAGGCTCAACCCCTCCTTCACTCTTTAATTCCGAGGACTGGGACACTCGACAGACACCCAGGTCCGTTCGTACTGCCTGCTCGTTTGCCCCTTATTCATCTATACCCATATATACCTATCTATCCTATATACAAATCGATTTAGTAAAGTTCGAGCGCAGTTTTTTCCATACATTTCGACGTCAGAATGATAGCAAAATCCTATTTGTAACTGTGAAAGTTTTCATTAAAACCGGCAAGCATACATTATCCTAATTAAATGGGTGGAGCATTAGCGCTCATTACAATATGTACTCGTCTGTAAAAGCATTTGCAAATCACTCCTGGCAATCTCATTTTCATCTTCTGGTAAGCCTTGTTGTGTAAGAATTTTATTTTTTGTAGGAATTTTTACGATTACGATTCTGATTTATAATTCTCATTGTTTATTAATAAATAGTAGTCAATTAATGAATTTGTAGTGAATTTGTATTCAAATAATGTTTTGCAAGATATACACAATAAGACACAATGTCTCGAAACTAGGAAAAGCGTTTCACAAGTGAAAACAATTATTTACTGTATTTTTAAAACACTTAATTTGATTTGTCGACTAAAAAGTAATTAGTATAAGATACAATAAAAATTCCTTATAGAGAGATGTTTGCCATTCTAATAAAATTCTATTTTTTTTATTATACACTGTCCTAAATTTATCTACCAAAATCAGATTTCCCGAATTTACTCGGGATAACTTTGTGTGATCCACAAAAATATATATATATATATATATAAAATATATATATTTTTTTATAGACAACTCCCGCACTAAGAATAAATCCTATGTCGCCGGGGACTTCACAAACATACACGATACGGACACAAAGTACACCCAGACTCAGAACAACAATTCGTGGATCACTCAAAGCGTTGTCCCATGTGGGGTTTGAACCCACAACACTCGGCGTAGTAGGAAGCGGCGTGGCGACCGCTTAAACCACTGCGCCATCCGTGCAGTCTATATATTATAGTTTTTTTACTTATATTTGTAATTATTTCTTAATTTTTAGTGCCCTTTGTCAGTATTATTTAAACTCGGTTCAACTTTTTTTATAGTGTATTTACTTAGATTTGTAATTATTTTTTAATTTTTAGAGTTCTTTGTCAGTATTGTTTGAACTCGGTTCAACTTTATTTTAAAAAGGATAAATCCTTTTTAAAATAAAGTTGAACCGAGTTTTACTCATTTTAGTGTGGGATATGCATATGTTTGACTTGAGTAGATAAGTAGGTACGATATTTAAAACACTACGTAGCGTAATGTCTAGTACTATTGTATTTTGTTAGATTATATTAAATACAGTTTCATAAGTCCGTTACTTTATTTAGAAAAGGTAATAAGATGATAGATTTGAAACAGAAAATTTATTGTTTTCCACATTACTTAATTTTCCAAAACTTGGAGTGGTATTTTTTTCTTTACATTTGAATGGAATTGGTTTTATAATCGGTTTACAAATGAAAGACATTTTAAGTTATTTTGTTAAACATTTTTTTGTGTTAAATGTTTTGTGATACCATATATTACTCTTTTGTGCACATATCTCTGTAACCCAGCACAAATACCTATCAAATATCTTGAAGAAAAAACAAGGTCAACACATGATTAGATTTTCGAAAGAGTTATTCTCTAACTACTAAAGGTCAAGGACCCTTCAAAAAGCTGAGCAACATGACATAACGACTATCCCATCATCAACTCCTAATTTAGTGGTAATGGACCAACTTGGGAGTATACTATTTCGATTACAAAAAAATAAATAAATATCGGTCAACAATCGTAACAACAATACAAAAAAAATACAGACGAATTGATAACCTCCTGTTTTTCCAATTCCAACCAATCACATTGTTACCATCGTTGGGAAAGCTTTTAGAACGTCTTGTAGCGCCCCGGCTTCTGCCAGGTGGAGTCAAATTTCATGATAGACAATTTGGATTTACGTTGGGTAAATCGACAACTGACGCTGTTATATCGGTTAGAAAGTTTGTCACAGGGTCAAAATTTCAATACGTGCTGGCTATTTTCTTAGATATATCTGGCGCCTTCGACAACGCATGGTGGCCCATGCTGTTGCTGAAATTAAAATCACGGGGGTGCTTTAAAAATATTTATTCCCTTATCTCTTCGTACTTTTCACAAGGTACAACTAAACTAAGACTTGGTCATCATTCTGTGTCGAAGGCGCTTACAATGGGATGTCCTCAGGGATCGGTGCTAGGTCCATACTTGTGGAATATCGGCTTCGACGATTTTCTTGCGATACCAATACCATCCGGATGTACTCTGAACGCGTATGCTGATGACGGCTTATTACTGGTGGAATCTGATACTAGGGCGGGGCTTGAGAGATTAGCCAATAGATGTTTGAACTTGATATCTCAATGGGGTGAACGTAATCGCTTAACTTTTGCACCCAACAAAACCTTCCAGCTACTTTTAAAAGGTAACCTCAAATCACCGCCGAGCATTAGATTTGACAATGTTACTGTAAAAAATAAAACCGCAGTGTGTTATCTAGGATTAGTTTTAGAAAGAAACTTTTCATTTATCGAACATATTAAAATAGTTAATGAAAAGTCTAAAAAGAGTTTCTGTGCATTGACAAGGATATCAACTGCGACATGGGGTCTATCATTTAATACATTAAAGATCATATACGGAGCTACTTATTTAGGTTCTATGTGCTATGGTGCACCTGTATGGGCCGATAGGGCGACCGTAGGCGCTGTCCGTCGCAAACTGTTACAAGGCCAACGACTTGCACTGATATTCTTGTGTAAGGCATATAGGACGGTTAGCACTGAGGCTTTGCCGGTGTTGGCGGGTGTGCTTCCGGTCGATCTCGATGTGCAGAGACGTGCAGCCATGTACTATTCAAGACAACAAAACATGGAATGCGATTTTTTGGGTGTGCGATATCGCGGTAAAATTACAAGATTGCTTCAACAGCAGCCCGATGTCTATAACGACCTCATAGACGAATGGCAACAACGCTGGGATGAATCATCCAAGGGGCGCCATCTTTACCAATTCTTTCCATCTGTTCGCGAACGGTTGTCGAGGATATGGCTTGAGGTGGATCACTGTGTCGCTCAATTTCTTACGGGTCATGGTAACTTTAAGAGCAAGCTTTATTCATTTAAATTAGTCGAGTCACCATTGTGTCAATGCTCAACACCTAACTCTCACTATGAACAGTCTGCTCATCATATCCTCTGGGAATGTAGTCTTTGGTATAATGAACGTAATATAATGTTGAATAGCTTACAGGTGACATCTGGGGCGGTATACTATGGGGATCTTGTGTCAACTAGGGTGAATTTCCGTGCGTTTAGGCGATTCTGCCATACATATTATAGAAATCAAACTTAGCTCACGTAGGACCCGTAATATTTGTGGCCGTGGTGCTTCCCTGTTTAAAAGGGTGTATGCCCTTTTTACTTCATTTTGTCTCCCGCTTTGCTAAGGAGGGAAGTGGACTTACTGTATTTCCAACTCCTCCAATTTTCTTCTGATTAATTTCGTTGCGGGTTCCAAGACAGTTTAATTACTTCCTGGGACTTCCCGAGTGTCATAACTCGGTGTGTTCGTGGGTCACTGCTGTAGATCCTGGTGTACAGGAGTTACAGCGGTGGGCGTGTGGGTGGGATTAGTCCCGTAAACCTCCTGTTTTGTATTTTGAAGTCGGTTAAAGAGAAAAAAAACTTTCCCCAATTTATAAACACCAGATCTCATTTTTTTTACTGTTTCATAGCTTTTAATTCACACCGCCGTTCCGAAGAACCTAAAACAATTTGCTATAATTTGCCTTTGAATATCTTATCCGAGTAATATTGTGATATTATCGTCTTTTTATTGAGGCGGCGCGGCGTAGCGTACCACGTTTTTTTACGGTAGCATCTACACCTAAACTTTGTGTACAAATAATATTTTTGTTTACGAAATTTACGCACGATGGGAAAAAAACTGGATTAATAAGCGCTTATTTGGACCATTTGGCTGTTTTCGGCGAGCTGTGAATTGTTTTTAATCTGGAAACAAATTGCCATTTTCAGTCGTGGATGGCGATTTTTATAATAACGTGCCGAATTATCTTCAGATAAAGAACAGACTTTACGTTTATTACTTTTATAACCCAAAATGGTAGAACGAAGTCTGGGTACGTCGCAAATATTATCCATGAAATAAAATACCTTATATAATTTTATATAAAAGTTGATTAAAATCCCGAAATACAGAATACATTTTGCTAAGAAAACGTTTCAATACAATATTTTACGATTGCTCCAGTATTAATATAACATTTTATTTCAACAAGCTAATGAAGTTGTTAATAGAATATTCCAATAAATAATACTAAAGTTGAGGCGTCGGTACAATCTTCTTATTAATCCACCAGCATTGAGGTCCAAATTAAACTCAATGGTGAAACGGATGGTAAGAACGAACAAACGGAGAACAATTTCGTTGTGGTCCAAGCTTTAAAAGCTATATCGTTGTATGACGAACCAGATTTTACAGCATATCTTTTGCACCATAGTTAATCAATTTATGGCAAACAAGCAAATAGGTTCCATTCATAGACACCTGTGACCTGTGTGTATTATCTTATCCATTAACAAAGTTAAATAAGTTAGTGATGTACTGCATCTAATTGTTTATTTATTGTTCTGGAGAGGTAAAATAACGTTAACGTGAATAAATCGCGTCAGTCTTGACTTTCTTGGGTTTCCTTCTGTGGCTATCAATCTCTTGTACGAA